TGGTAAACTTTTTGTCTTTGTCACTCACTTTATATTTAAGGAAATTCGATGATTTAGGATCAGTCTATACAAAATATTGTCGTACATGTAAATTATTTCGTCCACCACGATGCTCACATTGTTCTATTTGTGAACGATGTATCGATGTAAGTTTAATCATTTAATTATAGATATGCTTCAATAAAGAAAAATAAAAGATATTATTTATGAGGGAAACTATCCAGATGTCAAATTGCTTTTCGATCGGGATGATGTTCATTTGATGAGTTCTAATGAGTAATAGAAATTCTAGAATGGTTTTGTTATCCAAGCCGTCGTTGTTGAAATATCAAACAGTCAAACCATTCTTGGCTCTTCTATTACTTAATTATTACTCATCCAATGAACATCATGTTGATCGAAAAGCTATCTGACACCTGTAAAGGTTAGCTCACTTCTGATTTACCATGTATGATTAGATTAGTTAATATTCATCAGGTTATATATCCAATTTTTCGACATAGTTCGACTTCATATTACAGATATGAATTGATCTCCATGAGACTAATCGAGGCTTAAAAGAATCAAATTCTCTGTGACCTACTAATAAAGAATTATGGCCATTTTACTGAATTTTTTCCTAAGGGAAAAATATTTTCAAAAAAAGACAATGTTTTATCATAGAACACAGTAATCGAATCTACTTGAAAATTGAATATTTCGAGAAAAACATGTTCATTTTCGTGGAAGTTGTCAGGACTATGAAATTTGCCTTTATAAAAGACTTCAGCTCAAAACTTTTTGCTTACAAAATTTTTCGGATATGTTTTGTTGTTAATAAAAGTTTCATTCAAATGATCGCAACTCTTCGTCTTCATGCTATAAGCTTTGTCTTGTTGAGATCTACTCATAATCATAAAATGAAATCGAACGGGTGTTCGATCATTAGACACATTTTCTCATTTATTTAATCGAATAAACTTTGTCGAAAATACACTTTTATGAAATAAATTTTTCTTTCAGACATTCGATCATCATTGTCCTTGGTTAAATAATTGTGTTGGTATGTACTTCAAAAGAAAAAACAATCAAATTTTCTTTTTTTCTTTTGAAATTTTCACTATTTTCTATTTGAATTTAGGTCGTCGTAATTATCGTTATTTTTTTCAATTTTTATTTCTACTCTGTATTCATATGATATTACTATTTGCATTTTGTCTTTATTATGTTCTTCATGAGCGTCATCATAAAATAATAACACCAAGTTTTCTTATACTGCCATCAAATCCAAATGTATCAAAAAGGCAAAATGATTATGCACCATCATCAATATATGTCGATAAAACAACATTTGTTGGTTTTTCGGATTATCGTTTTATTATTTGTATTATTTTACTTCTTCTTCTTGGTCTTATGGCAATACCTATAGGTGGTTTAACAGGTTTTCATATATATCTTATATGTCTAGGTCGTACAACAAATGAACAAGTTACTGGTAAATATCGTATGCAAAATGATGTATTTAATAGAGGTTGTTGGAAAAATTGTTGTTATGCATTATGTCAACCATTATATCCACAATTAAAATCTCCGAAAATCAAACGTTATAATGTTGATTTATTTGAAGAAATGGCATATGGAAAAATGAATTATAAAATAGAACAAAATGAATATGATGAAAAAAGAAAAATTAGTTTTGAAGACACAAACAAATTAAATATGAAAACAAATATTTATCATAATCCCATGGATGAAAAAGGTTACAGAGTTTTTTTTTCTTTTTCAATACTTGTAGTGTAGAAGTAAGTGTTGGAATATGAGTTAGAACTTTTGAACAATTGAAAATCTAGTGATTCATATTAGTTTCGATATATTATGATTGATTAGTGTTATTTTTTTTTTGAAGTTTAATTGAGATGTATATGTGCAGAAAAATAGGGAATTTCATGACGAATCATCGAACTTCATAAGATTCTTCGATTGTACTGAAATTTTGAAATGTCATCTCATAATATAGATCACATTAAATCTAACATCTCATGATTTGTAAAAATTAGAGCTCTAGTAAAATCCGTAGCGTCATCGAACAATAATAGCTCTGGAATTTGATGGAACTCTGTTTGACTTCACATCATTCTAAAAGACTTCGAGTGTAAAAATTTCATAGATTCTCGAATACTTCCAGCTCAGAAAATTCACTTGTTTTGCCTTTAATTTATACTATGCATAATGATACCACATTATGATACTATATGATACCGATTACATGTGGAAAGAAAAGAATATTGTTACGACCTAATGAAGACAGATGATAATACATATTAGCATTTGTGCGAAGTCTTAAAATATACATATGCATGTTTTCCATAGCCAAAGGATTATTATTTACTAAGACCCATCTTTTTATTATGTATTAGTTAAAGAAAATTGTAGAATGATTCCAATAATGCTTAATAATTAAAAAATGAATTCGTGATAATTAATAATATGAGTGCGAGACAAAAAAAATTTGATTTTTTCCTATGAAAGATACACATTTGTTTTCAGCATTAAGTGAAAAAACTTTTTGAATAGATCTCTAAAATAAGAATAAATTTAATGATGGAATAAACTTCTTGAACGTTGCAATTAACATATATTTCATGATTACTTTTGTTCTTTACTAGTTGTTGAAAACCAACTTTAAGTACATTGTTGCTTCAATTTTTCGAGTTATTTTAAGAATAACAAATTGAATTTCATTATGAAAGAAATAATTATTATAGAATTTTATTTTCTAGTTTGTCAATATAATAACTCAATTCAAATTGCTCAACAACAAGTAAATAAATAAAAATATACATATATAAAGAGATAGAATAGGTTTAACAACAACACACTTTTTTTCCTATAATGTTAAGTAATTAACTCAAATCCAGATAGTTATTTCAATAGACAATGAAATTTTCTTTTGCAAAAATTTGATAAATGAAGTATAAGCACAAGATTTCTGAAAAATAGCCGGACATAGTTCTTGAAGACTACTGTATCGCGTTTTTTTTTTTTGAAAACTTCGCCATCATAACTCATGAAAATTACTATCTAGATGTGACCTACTTTCTTAACATTGTAGAAAGAAAAATCAAAAAAAGTGTTATTGTTAAATTCTTTTTTTTTGTCATCATCGTATTTGTTTAAAAATTTTTTAATTCATTTATTGTTTTTCTATTTATTTAAAGCAAATATCATCTTCAACATCTTCTTCAGTCACATCTTCATTGCCATTTCAACCAGTTAAAAAAAATCTTTTACAACAAACAACAAAACCCGGATTTGAATCCATACGTCGTAGTTTATCAAATTTATCTTTATCTTCACGTTGTTCATATGATAATATGGAAGAAAATGAAGATGATATTCATCAACCATTACCTTATCAAACAATTAGTAATAATAATTACAACAATAATAATAGTTCAAAACAAATGAAAAAAATGTATGTTAATCAAAATTCTATTCAATCTGATAATATATCAACAAATAGTGCTATGACATTACGTACAGATTCATATAGACAAGCACATCCTTTACATTCATTTGCTTTTGATTATCCAAAACGACCATTATTACCTCAATCAAAACAAAATAATGAACAACAAAATCGACGAAAAGTAAATGGAAATAAACAATATGAAATATCTGTTTAAAGAATAAAAAAAAAAGTTTTCTATTCTGTGATTATCATAGATATTTATTTTATATTGTCTGTTTGTTTATTAATAGAATTTTTCTTTAGGAAAAAAAAACTATATGTGTATGTGAGAAATAAAATATTAGGATTTTCGCCTTTTTTTTCTTTCTTTTTTTTTTTTGTTATTGATGTTGTTGATATTAATTCTTTCAGGAGAAAAAAAAACACAGAAATCGTGTATGTGTGCATGTATTGTTAATGTTTTTTTTGCTTGATACTTTGTATTATTCAAAAAAAAAACAACGCTTTTGTTTGTTGTTCTTTTCTTATTTTTTTCTCTTTAAAAAAGAGACAGAAAAGCATCTTCATTTGTATTTATTTATTATTCTTTTAATTTTTTTCTGACAATATTTTCATTCCATACATCTGTCATTACATTTTTTACATTCACATTGTGTAACAATTCGATATTGAATGGTCCGTGGTTTTTTATTTTCACACATTATTTGAATTTCATGTGCTTTGGTATTTTTTGGTGAACAACAATGAAGATGATGTATATGTCGATAATGTGTGGGTGCATATTGCCAATCATAAACGAGATAATCTTGTGAATAACATTGACCACGACAACGAGTTGTTTCAATTGATAATGGAGTATTTAAACAATTTTGAAGATTTATTGTTTCTGTATAAGGTTCAACTTGACAATTATGTATGGTTGGAGTTTTGGATATTATTAACGGAGGTGTATGAACAAGAAGAAACAAAAAAATAAGAATTCCAGACATGATAATTAATGAATGAATATAGGTGAAAAAATGTCAGAAAGAAAAAGTTAGAAATATTTTTCTCTTCTCAATTATCCTCAAGTGAAATTCATTGTTTGTTTTTATACACGGATATTAATCGACTTTCTGTCACATATAATCATCATTTTTTTTAAAAAAGATAATCTTTTAAGTACATCCATCGTCCTGGTTTTTTTTTTCTATTTTATTTCATAGCCAATGAAAACAACAACAAGAAGAATAATGAAGAACAAATATAGTATAGTAATAGTAATAGTAGTACACAGAGAGAAGAAGAAAAAGATAGAAAGAAGTAGTTGTATACAAAAAAAAAAAAAAAAAATAGAGACAAGCGCGAGTTTTTTTTTTGTTTTCATACATCTTTTCTTTTTTTCACATACAAAACAAGAATGTCATTCTACAACAATATAACAAGTAGTACACAGAAAAAAAAGAAAATTCTGAACTCGACAGCAAAAAAAAAAAAAAGAAGAAGAAGAAGAAGAAGGATATTAGGGACGGTCAGAGATCTTATTTTATTTTTTTTATTAATTGTTATTTTATTCTTCATCTTCATCGTCATCATCATCATCATCATCGTCATCATTATCTTCATCAGATGATTTTGCTTTAGCTTTTCCTACAGGTTTCTTAGGTGATTTTTTGCTTGTTGATGCTTTTGATGAACTTTTACTACCTTTAGCTGCTGAACTAACATCACCACCACCACCACCATTTTTTTTATATTCAGCAAGTCGTACTTCATATTTTTGTTTTTCAACAGCAGCCTTTTGTTCATAACGTTTTTTTACATCATCACTATATCACAAAAAAAACCAAGATTTATTTTTTCATGAAATAATTTTTTTTTTTCTTTTTTCTTTTATCTTACCTAACTTTTTTCCATCTTAAACCAATTTCTTTCGAAATATCACCAACCGATAGAGATGGACTTTTTTTCTTTATATCCGGTCGTTCATCTTGGGAAAAAAGAAAAAATGCCGATAATGGTCGTTTTGGTGCATTTGGATCTTTGCCTGCTTTTTTTGATGGTCCGGCACCACGAGGCATATTGTTATTTTCTGTTTTTAATAAGATAATTAAACAAAAAAAGAAAAATATACGAATCTAAAAATAAGCAGATATATATATATATAGTCAAATTTAAAATTGAAAAAAAAAATATCATCAACAAACTAAAGAATTCAATATAAACTATCGAATAAATACGATCGTTGCTCTGTCTCCCTCCTTCCCTCTCTCTCTCCTCCACTTCTCTAGATAAAGACTGCCAAATGAATCAATGAACAACGAGTTAGACAAAGAGAGAAATGTGACCCAGTCAGTCAGTAGTGTGTCGTTTCTTTCTGCTGCCTAGCTAAAAGGAAGAATCGACAGCGAAAGAAAACGCACGCATATAACGTGTATATATGTGTGTATGTGTGTGTATGTCTCTGCTTTCTCGTCTCGCTTCTTTTTTCAAACATGAAGCGCACACGCTATAGCGGTCGTGCATGTGTGCAAGGAGCTTTGCTTTACTTTGTATGTGTGTGTGTATGTTCGTCTCCGTCTGCTGTGTATGTGATGGCGAATGGTGATTGCAGTAGCAGCAAAATGTGTAGAGAAAACGCGCGCGCGCTCGCAAGCAACAGTGCAACAAGCACAACAGAGGCCCTTTATGATGCGCTTCATACAATAGTGTGTGTAAGGAAGAAAAAGTAAGAGGGCGATGGTTGGTAAAAAGAAGAACAATTATTAAGACACGACGACAGCGAAATAGCTTGCTTGCTTGCTTGCTTGCTTACTTACTTGCTTGCTTGCTTGTGCACACATACGCACGCACACATATAATATATATATATTCTATACGAAAATGTAATAGCAAAAGCAATGTGTTTTGTTTTTTTGGGTTTATATAAAAATAAAAATGGGCGAAATAAGATGGAAATTAATTTTTATATTTAATGAAAAAATTTATTAAATCGAAAAGAAAAATGCCGGTTTTATTTTAAGGCAAAGAGTTCATTGGACAAGAAGAGATAAAATTCAAGTGAATTGTTGAATTGCATCAAAAAAAAAATTAAAAAAAATTAATAATTAAAAAAACAAAAGAAAAAGAAAAAAAGTTATTTTTAATTTTGGTTGATAAAAGCGATGAAGAGTGTTATGCTAAGGCAAATATTTTCTTAATTAGTTAATGTAACAAGAGATTTGTGTTAGAAGAGATGATAATCTATATGTATTTTAGATTTTTTTTCTAATTAAAAATGTCAACATCAAATTTACTAAAACTTGTTCTTCTTACTGGTGCTGGTGGAAGAATTGGTAAATATTTTGTTGAACATGCTAATAAACAAAAATATCAACTTCGTTTAATGGTTTTTATTTCAAGGATTTAATTTTTAATGTATTCTTCTTTTTTTTTACTAAGGTGCATTCAAGTGAACCAGAAAAAGTTGATGCAATAAAATCATTTGGTGAAATAGTCGAAGGCGATTTAAATGAAATAGAAACCTTAGATAAAGCTTGTAAAGATGTTCATACTATAGTTCATTTAGCTGGAGATCCAAATCCAAGTTCAACGTGGGATACATTAAAAGAGGCTAATATTGAAGGATAAAAAGAAAATTTTACGAAAATATTTAATTTAATTCTGTTGTGTTCTTTTAGTTTATATAATATATTCTTGGCAGCAAAAAAGGCTGGTGTTAAACGAATGGTTTATGCTAGTTCGATTCATGCTGTAACAGGCAATCCGAAAGGTGTACAAGCAAAAACAAATGAACCACCAAATCCAGGCGACCTTTATGGTATTTGACAAGTGAAATGGCATTTTTTTTGTTCTTATTTTTATTTTAAACAGGTGTTACAAAATGTTTTGGCGAAGCACTTTGCCGTTATAAGGGTGAAAAAGAAGGTGTGCCATCAATAGCTGTTCGTATTGGAGCATTTCAACCACATTCAACTGCACAAAATAAAGATTCAACAAGTATGATGGATTCATGGTTATCTCAAAGAGATTGTGTACAATTACTTGAACGATGTATTGATGCACCGGAAGATTTAAAATTTGCTATTGTACATGGTTTATCACGTAATACATTTAATCGTATGGATATTGAATCAACTCGACAATTATTAGGTTATGAACCTCAAGATAATTTTTTTGAAGAATCAGAATTATTTAGAAATTTTAACATGTCTGATGAATTAGCTGAACATGATGTTACGTATGTAGAAGATAAAAGAAATTTTTTTATTTTTTATACTTGTCTTTTTTTTTTCAGAGATGAAAGACAAAAGTCAGGTTTACGAGATAAATCAGCAGATGACAAGAAAAAAGATAAGAAGAAATAGATAATTGATGCAGTAAGAAATGTATCTCCATATGTCTGATATTGTTATTGTGTAAGAATTTAAATTTTTTCTAATCAAGCTCAATATGAAACTTTAATTTATTCAGGCAATTTCTTTTTGTTTTGTTTTTTATCAATTTTCTTTTCGTTATGATTGTTATATAAATCTATTCCCGTGTTAAATTATTTTTGTTTTTATTTTTGATAACAAAAATTAAAATAAAAAGAAGAAAAAAAGATGAACAAAATTCATAAATGTTAACGTGTTCATTGAATGAAAATATCCATTCAAATTGAAATCGAACAATTAATTATATATATGAATTTCATTGTTACCACACACTATTGTCTCAGTCTTGTTAATGAGAAATGATGTTCTAATTATTTATTCTATTATAGTGCAAATGTAAATAACAGCCGTGTCGACATTTTCTTTTAAGTTAACGAGTACGCTCGTTCTTTCTTTATATGAACATCTTTGTAATATTAATATTGCAACTATTGTAATACTTCAAAGATGTCTGATTTGAGAAAACTGATATAATAAAAAAAATGGATATGTAATTAGAGATATTCTAGGTAAATTATTCTTCAATATGAAATATAAAGTCTTATGAAATATTAATTGACTTTTGAGTCTTAGAAAAACTCTATATGAAACAAAAAATATAACAAAAGTATCGATCACTTTTGTTTTATTCATCTTGAAATTGTTTTTTAATTTCGTCAAAAGTTAACGAAGAAGCAAAAAAATAAAAAGCTGAAATCAGATCTTTTTTGATTTAACTTATTAAATTGATTTTTTTAAATTAAAACATCGAGGGTAAAAAGTTAGTTTTCTTGTTTCTCTGTAGAGTTTAAATAAAAGAATTAACATAATCAAAAATCATCACCTTTTTGTAATTGCTTTGGTAAATCTCATTCTCTAAATATACAAATGCTCGTCTTTTAATAACTAAATTCTACTTAAAGACTTACATTATAAGAACATATTTAAAATCAAGATGCAAAATGTTCAAAATCAAACTTTGTTGAATAAGTCATTTCTTTTATCTAAAATTGATAAAAAATAAACAAATTACCTAGTTTTCCTTTGCGAAGAAGTTATATTAGAATTTTTCGGCAATTGTAATTTGAACTCTAAGAACGAATCAACAAAACTATTTAAATTCCAATGATATCTGATAAATTTATTTACATGTACTTCAAAAGATATCTGGACACCTAAGACCACTCTCAACCTTCTTCAAAATCGATATTGATCCGGCACATGCATATCGCATGATATTTTCAGGATATGTTCGGACTCTAGTAGAGAAACTACGGTAAAACTTTCAGTCTTATAATATGACGTTTGAAAGAGATATTCACTAGAACAAGAGTCAACAATGGTTCATTTTGGTAATCCAAAATTCTCTGCAAATCTTCATTCTGTATATTTAATTTTTTGTTTGTTCGGAAAAGCATTTCAGGATGCAGGGCATAACAGAATCCTTTTTTCTAAGCTTTCCTTTTTAAGCGGAGAAAATGAATGACTAGTTCAATAATTCAAAACACTGCAATTATTTCAGAGGTTTTTAGCTGTTGAATTTGTTATCTATATTCTCGACTTAAAAAGGAACACTTAGAAAAAAAAAAGAATTCTGTCATGCTCTTTCAAACAAGCAAAAAATTAAATATACAGAATGAAGGTTCACAGAGAATTTGGAATTACCAAAATGAACCATTGTTGACCCTTGTTTTACTGAATATCTTCCTCAAATGTCATGTGATAGAGCTGAAAGTTTATTGTAGTCTATTCACTAGAGTCTCAATGAATCCTGAAAATTTCATATGGTATACATGTACGTCGGATCAAAATTGTTTTTTAAGAAAGTTGAGAGTAGCTTTAAGTATTCAGAGACTTTTCGGAGTACCATTATATCTTTCGTTTGATGTCACTAGATAGATTGTACAATTGTATGTTAATAAAAACTAGAGGTGGCATTATTAACAATGAATAATCCAATTGATAAATACAAAATGCTTCCATAAACAGATGTGATATATTTGGCGTTTATTATTTTGACATTGATAGTATATAGAAAGTATAACATCTCAAATTTCATCATGTCGAGAATTTAGTGTGTCTTTTTTCTGATTCTATATTTATTCGACTGGAGCTATTATATACAAGATGTACAATGACATAAATTTGCAGTAACCTTTAGAAACCGAGAAAGGATCTTTTGACAGTAAGAAAAAGTTGATCACGAAAATGCTAATCATGGTCTCTCAGTATGCTCATACTATAGTTGAAAACAAACACTTTTTTTTTTCTTATAAAGATACAAAATATTTCTTGAAAGAAACAATCGATCTTAACAATATGAATTCTTTACTTTACTCCATTTATGTAAAAAAGTATTTGCTCTTATAAATAATTTTTCTTGTTTTATTTATTTATTTTTATTACACAAAGAACCGATTGAAACAATATCTCGCACTTGTTCAATGTTGATACACTTTCCGTTTTACTATAATGCTTGCTCGAGGTTATGCAGATGTTGTCAGGATATTTTAGTCTAAAAAGACCAAATGTCCGTTTCAAGGAACGTTTTCTTCACGATACCATAAATCATCAGTAGACCGATCAAAAATTTACGGAATGGTTTCATCAGGTAATCTGACATTGCGCTTAGCGATATTACTCAAAAATACAACAATTTACGTTATATTCATGAGAAGACAAACTTTTCAAAATAAAAATAATATTTAAAAATTTACAAGTTTTTGAAAAAAATCTGTTTGTACATTCTGACAGTCATTTTTGAATGATTTCTTTTTCCTTCTAAGATCTATCAGATCACCAGCATCTAGGAAAATATTGATTTTTGCATAGATAATTTTATTATAATTTCTAAAACAGTTCTTGCAATATTTCTTAGATGGGACATTTGGCTTTTAAGGGTTAAGCATCGTCTCTCAATCACAGTATATATTTAACTGAAATATGAGCTGTTAGAGAAGAATATCTATCTGCGTGGTTTTGCTCTAGAATCTAAGCTTCTTAATTCCTGGTATTCATAATATTTCTCACAATATCCTTTTGTACCACTCAAGCAGCATATGTATGTTTGCTTCAAGTTAGAAACACTAACAAGACAAGGGTATATTTTAACAGATTCTAAGGAAAATTACCAGTACATTTTGCATCTTTATCATTTGCAAAAATAAACATTAAATGAAATGCAAAAATATTGATAAATGTTATGATGATATCATATATTTTTTTTGAAGCATATGAAAATTACTGTACAATTTAGTGTTAATATGAGTTCGTACAGTCAATGGCATATAATTTTTTTTTCCCCAGCAGTGAAATATGTAATGAATTTTAATTAAAATATTTTATAACTATTATTAACATAATTTTTTTTTTCAATCGATGTAGAAACTTCGTTTAGAAAAAATATACTTTTATTCTTCTTCTCATTCAAATAATTAAATTTTTGCTGTTTGAAATTATTACAATATTTAAAATTCTTATATCTACTGAAGCAATAAAGTTAGTCCATAAAGCGATAAGATTTTCACTGAAAAAGACTTTTAATAATAGCTTGGAATTCGCTCAAATACATTCAAGAGAATTTAAACAGCTAATTTTTTTCCTATGTGTATTAATTCTGTTTGATCATTATAAAAAAAAAATTTTTTCTTTGAAATTTTGATGAAAAACTTTTTGTTCTAATTATAGAAACATATTTCTCCAACATAATGTCATATGAATCATTATCATATCATATGATCATAGAATGGGAAAAAGCAAGCATAAAAAAAACAACTCATGATCGACGAAATTAAAACAAAGGACAAAAAAAGAAATGGTCCCTATGAGGATCGAACTCATGACCTCCGCGTTATTAGCACGGCGCTCTAACCGGCTGAGCTAAGGGACCGTGTTTGTTTCCATCTTCGAACTGAATATCTTTATGTACAATCGGACATATTCGGTTTTAATCAAATTTCTATAACAACATTCATAATTCATGAAAAAAAAATCTAAAGGTTAGAATATTTTGTACAATGTTGATTTTTATTTATCAAGTTATTTTTAGAAAGACAATTGGTAATTGTGTAAATGCCATCATGTGATTCAAAATAAAATGCGTTATAGAGCTAAAAAAAGCATATACACATGACAACTAAGTATCATTAATACTCGTCATTTTTTCCCTTTAATCTATATAAAGTAACCAATATTGATCATCTATTTCCCTCCTAACGTAAGATATTACTAACATTTTATGTTTCTATTATATTATTAGTAAACGACTACGAAATTGACATTATGATAAAAAAACACTTCTATTATTTATTTGCATTTTGATATCTTTCTTTTGTTTTTTTGACTATTTGTCATTATATCTATATGTCAAAAATAACTTTTGCTTTTTTATGTCTATAATAACATATACAAGAACGATGTTTATTAATTAAACGTGAAGTAATATTATATCGCACATGTCTGTATGTATTGACAGATTTTGATCAAAAAACGAAAAAACAACACATCTGACACGAAAAAAATAAATAATAAAAATAAAATCTTTAGGAAAAAGCCAAATACGTTGTTTTTTTTCTATCAAGTGTTCTAAAAATTTATGAATTCCATGAAATTCCTTCTTTTTTAAGAATATATTTGACAGCATCTAATACATCATGTTGAGTTGTTGACGGTATTTTCCAATGTTGTTTTTCTTCAGCTGTTTGTTTATTTGGATCATAAACACCTGTACATACTAAAATTGATTCACAAGATGTTGCAGTTAAATATTTTGGATCTGTAAGTATATCATAACCACTGATACTTGTTCTAGTATTTACATCTTGTTGTAATAAACAATTGTACATATTTGAACCGACAATATCTACATCAGGATTATCACTAAAAGAGAAGAATTAAGATTTAAAAATAAATTAAATTTTAATTAAAAGAAAAAATTTTACCCAATAAAATAAATTTTATCAATTTCTGGTTGTTCATTTGCCAGTGCATATTTATTAGCCATGATTTCACCATATTGAAATGAGATTTCAAAAGGTTTACCAACAAATGCTTTGTATACCAGTTCACGTCCACTAAGATTCTATTTAAAAAAGAAGATTTTCATGAATTTATTTGTTAGAATTATTTAACTTACTTTATATAATGCTTCTAAACATGTAAGAAAAGCTCCATGACCAAAACGTGGTAAATCAGCAGCAGCTTTGAAAACTAGATCTCGATTACACGCAATAACTGGTATATGAGTCTGATCAATTGTTGTCTCAACAGGTACAACAGCTGGATTGCCATCAGTTAAAAGAAGATCAGTAATGACTTGTAATGAACTTTCCCAACTGATAGGTTCACCGAGCAAAACAATAGCTATATCAAACAAAAATAAATAACTAATTAAAATATAAAAATTATTATCAAAGTATATTTACCATCAATTGGACGAAAATTTGTATCACGAACAAGACTTTGTGTTTTTATCATCTCACTCTAAAAGATAAGAACAATGAAGAATATATAATGAAAAAAAAAGGTTATTTATTTAGACTTACAAATTTAGCCCGATTCATATGATTAACCATGTCTAATTCCGGAAATGCTTCACAAACTTTTTCAACTGTTGTTATACTTTTAAAGCCAAGCCTGTATAAGAAAAAAATTAAGGTAAAAAATTTTTAAAAACAACAAATTACATACATTCGACCAATTTCTTCAGTAGGACCTTGTCCAGATATCAAAACATGTTTGTCATGATATTGAGTTAGAGTACGCATTGGGGTTTGAGCCAGAACAACTTGTTCTGGATTAATCTAATATTTCAAATCAATATTTTAAAAACCAATTATATTATGATAAATTAAACTTACAGTAATTCCAAGCATGGCTGATAGTTGTTTGGCTTTTTCGGTTTCAATTGCACATGTATTTGAAAGAAAAACGATAGGTACCTTGAGTTCGATCAATTTGTGAATAGCTGGTTTTGCAACCGATATAAAATTTGGGCCTTTTGTAATGACTCCATCAATATCAAAAAGACAGGCGAAGTTATGCTATTCATTAATATAAAAGATTACAAATAATTATTTTCTATATCAATAATATTAGTTACCATTTTCATTGGAGATTCTTTGGCTTTATGATTGATTTTATATTACTTAGTTGTTGTTTGAGATTCCGGTTATTTTTATTTCTTATAATCAAACAAAGATAGTTTCAACCCTTTATATACTATTTTGACGATTGTGATAAGAAGAGGTGTGCATGTGATTTGAAAAAAAAAGAAGGCGTGTGAGCCACACAATGTTATGAAAAATAAAATTTTTTTCGTTGATGCTCAGGTGGCTGATCACTTCGTGCTTATAGCCTGTCAACTAATATATGCAGTTGTAAACAGCACCATACTCTGGCTGCCTGATTTCATCGTATGATGTTGCGGAGTTCTGCGTGACAACATGAGGGTGAAGGTTCAAGTTTGTGTTGTTTCATCGTTGTTCTCTTGTAAGAATATAAACAGAGAGGGAGAATGTATGCGTGATTCTTTTTCCTGATCATACGTTCTGTGCATGAAAACAACCTTCCGATTGTATTCTATTTTCAGCATGGCAGTAAAACAGAAGATGGAGAATTATTTACCATCATATATTCAGTGCATGATCAATTGATTTTTGCCAATAAACAAAAAAAAATTAATGCAAGAAAGACTATTTAATTGTCGAACAGTAAATAAAAACGTAGTGAAGCAAACATAACTTATAATTTTTTTTCTTTCAAGTACAATGTTTTTTCATTTCTCTCTTGTTTGATAAATATTTGTTTAAGAAAGCATAACATTTTCGAACTATCACCTAAAACATACGTCTACATCACAAAAGCGCAGACATCTATGTTTGAAGAAACTCAATCAAGTATTAATAATAAGATTTTTCTATAGCATTATTTGTTGTTTAGCCATGTGAATTGTTGCATTCGAATTGAAACTTCATGAGCATGAAAAAGTACATTATAACCTTGTCTCTAATAAATAATAATATTTTCATAGAGCATATGCACTAAATGAGAGAAAATATATAATTTCTATGATTTATTTTAACAATCAACTAGAGAAAACATTGCTTTTTGATTTTCATTAATCATTTTCTGTCGATAAATGTCAGTAAAATTATTGAGTGCATTATGTGTTAATACACTATATGTTTCACCAAAAAGATCAAATAACCGAGGACAATGACCTTGGTAACCTAAATAATTAATAATTCAATATATTTAGTAATTATTACAAATAATAATAATACCACTAATAAATCTTTTCTCAGAATTATTATTGCGCATTTTATATACACTCTGATTCCAATCTTTCTCGTTCTGTCGATAGAATTCAGCCTGTTTACTTATTGATTTCAATGGCATGTGCTCACATGTATAGTGCAACTAAGAAGAACAGAAATTTCAATACAAAATAGAGTTAACATAAAACTCTATTCATTACCATAGAATCGGTTGGTAAATCTTGTTTAGTAATAGAGTTATCGTCTAAAAGTTTTTGTAATTTAAAATCAAGTTTATAATATCGTTTTTGTGTTTGATCATTTTCAAAATCAATAATAGATTTTAAAAATAAATTTTTCATATTTTTGCCAAATTTTTCTTGTATTGTTGGTATATGTCCGGTATATCCAGATGTGATAATATCAGACATATAAATTTGATCAGTAATTGATGAATTTGCTCGTATATCAAATGTTTGATCATCAATTGAATCTATTGTTGGTGAAAATAAAGTATCTGGACGTGTATGAATATACGAATTATGAAATATACGACGACTCATTTCACTACGAGTTAAACCAAACATGTAAGACTCTTGTGGAATTTTGCCAGTATAACCGGGTAAATGATAGTAGTTTTTAGAAACTTTTTTCTTCATACAAGATTGTTTTAAGTTTTGATTATTATGACATGTTTGATTCAGTGTCAAATAGCAACAATCATTTGTATTTATGTTAGGTAATGTAGAATAATTGATGTTACTATTAGAAGATCTTGAGTCTTGTTTGAAATATATTACAGACATTGAAGAATTGTTGTAAAGCAATCAAATCGAAAATATTGACATTTTTTATTTTTCACATAATTTTCGCGCTGCTATAAATGAAAATAAATAATATAAATTATATTATTAGGTTTTTTTTTTTGTGTGCTTACTGTTCAAGAAATAAACATCTACTCTACTTACCAGAATCCTATGGTTAAGTGATGGTTCATTAAATGAATCAAAATTCATGACAGTGATCAACATGTAGACGTAGAAATCATGAAAATCTATTGAAGAAACAATTGTTTTATGTGGAATTATATGTATAGAAGCCGACACAATATAACGATGATATTTTATCTTGTTGTATACAGATAATAACGGTATTGTAATCGAGTACCGACTGTTTTCGGTCGCAATACAGTGCATTCCAAACGATAAAAAAAACCATTGAAAATGACCGTATTCATTTGACTTGAGTGGCAGTAAATATTGAATATTCAAATAGTTCTTCATTATTGACCAAAATCTAAACACAAAAGTATTTATAATAAGATTAGGCAATACAAAAAATTCAGACCTGAAGTATGTTTAATAGGTTGTCACAAATTTGAAATAAAACTGGATTTTTAAACAGTGTTAAACAGTATGTCTTAGTACTAAACACTAAAGAAAATAAAATGAAAAATTGTTCCAACAGACTTCATTGCTTTTGTTTTTCGAATAAATTTCAAGTTTGATGGCGAATATTTCGCCATTTGTAACGATATTTGTCGACTTTTGTAGAACCTTCGACCAAGTGCGGTTTCTTGGATATATTGGAAACCTAAAAAAGAATGGAGATTCTAAAAAAGTATCTGAGCTGGATAGGGAATCAGTTGAAAAATAGGAGAGGATTTATTGAATTAAAAGACAAGCGCTGGATGTGGCTTCATATTCTTAGATGAGGACCTCAAGAATCAATACTCACACTATTTTCGTTCACTACTGATAATTAGGATCTTAGTGAATTATTAAATTGTTATTTAAGTGATCTGTTCACAGACGATCTCGCAGCAATGTTGGCTAAAAAGATCGAATGGAAATATTCATTGAAATATTTGAAGCTCGAGAGAAAATTGTCGGTGTTTTTTGAGGACTTGAAATTTTATTGTGAGTTTACAGCTCAACTAATAAATTATAACAAAACTCAAGCAGTATTTTCTGCTCGGACGATCAGGTATCCAGATATTGATACTGAAATGTGATAAAAACAAAATTGAATGTGTTCAGAAAGTAAAGTACTCGGGTTATGTATTCACTTCAAAACTGGGAATGGGCACAATGATCCAGACAACAGCACTTTAAATTCGACAAAAAGCTGTAACGATTAACTTGCTTCGTTTGAAAGGTTTTATATCCCTAACTCTGAGAAAGATTCTCTACAAGTACTATATCATTCCTGTTTTTCCATGTCTTTCTTCACTATTTACTTCGAAACAGTAACAAGATCTGAACGTATTCTACATACGACGTTTGCGAACAGTGATATTTCATACACATTTCGGCCCAAATTTCTTTATGTATGCTACAAACGGATTACCACTCGAAGAATGATATGAAAAATATTAGGTATCCTGCTGCCTGCTAGCCTTGTCCGATACAACAAATAGTTCTTTGATCTTTGAACTAAGTAACTACAATGTTCTAAGAGAAAATTGACTGTACGGGAAGAAAAAGATAAATGGTATTCATCGTTCTAAGAGTTTTGTCGAGCGTATATCCTTTCTCGAGAAATGCACTTATTGATGCATAAGCATCCCCTCGAATTATTCCAATGTTAACTAAAGTCTGAAGAAGACGTTACAGTATAGA